ACATCCTGCAGTACTTACATCAAACTTGTCCTGAGTAAACCTGGCCTCCCCCGTGGCCCATATGGCCAATACATCTTTAATAAATTCCTCCACAGGCTTATACTTCCCATCTTGCGAACTCATCTTGCATTTGTCATCAGCAGAAAAATTCCGGAACCTGTTATTAAGGTGTTCATGCGTGCCCTTAATGCTGTAGAAATCCTGAAGTGCCTATTCCGATTGTTCCTTCCTGTCCACATGCTACTTGTGCATGGCTCCCGCACAGAATAACCTTTCTATGTGGTTGACAACAGGTAGGAGCTACTAGAACAGTTGTATAATATATTGTTATAATACACAAGGAAAAGGAAGACCCTTGTATTGTTGCCCTTAATACATATAAAACTTAAACAGAATTCTGCCTATATAAATACTCATTCTACATTAGGTAATACACATAATGCTACATGAAAGGAAAAGTGGGAAAATCAGACATATGTAAGAAGAATAAAAAGAAAAGAGAAAGAACAAAAAAAAAAAAAAAACAAAAGAAAAACAAAAACGAAAGGGAGGAAACAAAATACGACTACCTACACACACAACGCGTCATGCATATACACTCCCCGCCGCCTTCTTCACTAAACGCCTTCACACACGTTGTCTCTGTGTGCGTACACAAAAAAACCCCAGTATAACAACATCAATTCTTCTTCCGTCGTTGCCTCGTCCTCGTAAACATTGTGCGCGCGTGTAAGAAGGAGGAGGATTGTCTCTCCGAGCAAACGCGTCGACCAACGCGGCCGAGTGTAAGACGGATTCGACGAAGTAGCCGAGTAAAAACAGTGTCCGCGTGTCACAAGGAGGAGAGATTGTCTCTCCGAGCAAACGCGTCGACCAAAGCGGCCGAGTGTAACAACGATTCGACGAAGTAGCCGAGTGAAGCGGTTCGATTACGGCGTTCGAGTAAACGCATCGACCAACGCGGCCGGGTAACGCACATTGTCGACGCGGTAGCCGCGTGCAAGAAGGAGGAGATGATTGTCTCTCCGAGCAAACGCGTCGACCAAAGCGGCCACGTGCAACCCCGATTCGACGAAGGATTGTCCGAGTGTAAGAACGGAGGGAGACCTTGTCTCTCCGAGCCAACGCGCTTCGACCAACGTGGCCGATTGTAACAACGATTCGACGAAGTAGCCGAATGTAAGAAGGTACACATTGTCTCTCCGAGCAAACGCGGTTTGACCAAGTAGCCGAGTGTAAGAGGGACGAGATTGTCTCTCCGAGCAAACGCGTCGACCCACGCGGCCGGGTATACACGATTGTCCGCGTAAGCAGCATTCGACGAAGGCTTGTCCGACAGCAAGAAGGAGGAGAGATTGTCTCTCGGAGCAAACGTGGCCGGGTAAAGGACATTGTCTCCGAGTTTAACAAGGACCACAGATTGTCTATCCGAGCAAACGCGCTTCGACCAACGCGGCCGCGTAAACCGCATTGTAGCCGAGTGTAAGAAGCAGCAGATTGTCTACGCGTGAAGCAGTTCGACGAAGTAGCCGAGTGTACGAACGGAGGGAGACATTGTCTCTCCGAGCACCACGCGTCGACCCACGCGGCCGCGGAAACGGATTGCCACCGAGTGAACGTATTTGACGACGTAGCCGCGGAAGGATCCGAATAGAGACAAAAGAGAGAGGGCGGGCAGCGAAGGAACCCATATATTATATGGGAGGAAGAACGACGGCGGCAACGGCGGCAGCAACGACGGAAGAAAAATTGTTGTTGTTGTTATACTGCGGTTTTTAGGTGTACGCACACACAGAGACAGTGTGTGTGACAGGCGTTCAGTGGAGACCGGTGTAGAAAGGGCGGGGGGGTGTATATTCATGACGCGTTGCGTGTGTCCGGTAGTAGTAGTACTACTTTTTTTTTCTTTTCCTTTCTTCTACAACGAAGCAGAGAAAGGCGGAAGGCGGACGGCAGGACGGGGCCAGGGGGACAGCGGAAGGGGGAAGAACACAAGTAGTGGTTGTGTATTTATCACGACTTCCATAAGCAGTTACCGGCGTGGCGTGACGGAGAAGCGCTGACGCAGAACGGGGTGACGGAGACGGGGTCACGGGACAGGCGTTGACGGTAGCAGCGTGCCGGACACCGCGTTCACGGAGACTTGGTTGACGGAGGCGGGGTGACGGAGAAGAGCGTTGACGGGAGAGGCGTTGACGGAGACGGGGTGACGCAGAGGCGTGGACGGAGACGGGGTGACGGAGACGGGGTGACGGAGACGGGGTGACGGAGACGGCGTTGACGGAAGAAGCGTTGACGGGAGAAGCGTTGACGGAGACGTGGTGACGAGAGAGGCGTGACCCGGCGCGCGGCATCACCTGGTGCTGGTGGGGGTGGTAACGGTGGTACGCCTAGTACGGGAGTTGCCGTAGGAGGTCAGCACGAGAACGGGAAGATGGCGGACACCGCGGACAAAGAGTGTGATGCAGACAGAATACTGCAGCGGACGCATAGGCCAATCTACGTGGTGCCCCCACGTGATGTAAGTTAGATTACACAGCCAGTGCCGCGATGGGCAGGACACAGGAATCAATATAAGAGGACTTTGTTGATACGGGCACTTACACATACATGTGAGAATGTATATGTATTTATGTGCAACCATATAGGTAACATGTGCCCATGGGCACTTTTTTAATGTTCATGTGCAACATGTAGGATAACGCATGGAACAAGTGGAAGCAAGTGTTGGAGCACTTTACGGCACATATGGAGGAACACAACTACCTCGCCGAAGCGTGGGGGGCAAACTGTTATAATAGTGGTTGGAATGATTTCGGCAAGGGCAATGAGAGTCATACGCAACAAAGAGTAGCAGATGTGGTACGGTGTAGAGTTATGAGCGTTGCATGGGCCTTTGCAAATGGGTGGAGTACGGGTGCACACGCGACGGAGCCAGGGGTCCCAATGGACCAGGAACAACAGAACATGTTCAGGTGTGAAGTGGTAAATATCTTTGGACATTTACTGAAGGAGAAGTATTGTTCAGAGCAAAAAGGATACAGGAGAGGTGTAGAATATTCTCGGATAGTATTCAGGAATATGCAGAGCGCGGGCACAGATGGAGCTGGAGTACTGGATGGTCCTGTTATACAAGGCAAGTGTACTGCGTGCGGGTACGGCGAGAATCGAAGGTGGGCACACGCGATAAATTTGAAAGTAGTAGAGTGGCTCATGGGGCAAGCAGCGATATTGGCAGAAATACAGGCAATGGAAAAGGCAATGCCGTGTACTGATAAATGGAAAGATTACATTACGAACCTGGACCAGGAGCAGAACCCTATTAAGGATGGGAACACAGAAGGGGGAACGCTCAAAGACCGTTTGAGCGACGCAGGGAAGAAGAAGATAGAAGACGCAGAGCAGAAGCTGGAAGGAGCAGTAACAAAGATAATTGAGAAAGTCGCGAAAGATAAAGACGACATACTGCAGCAAGCAAAGGAGGCGTTTCACGACGTGCAGAAGAACGCGGACCAGGACGCCACCGACACGACACGTAAGAATACGATTTGTAACACTACGAACATACGGCAGATACCGAGAATGGCCGCATAAGAATACGCTGCACGCACGGCCAATATGGATGCCGCCAACAACAACAACGCACACGCGGTGACGAGTGTAGACGAGGTGGCGTCACAGTGGTGCGATAACACACAGCACGACGGCAGCGATATCCATAGCCGTAGCGGCGTCCAGTTTGGACGAGTAACCGCACGACACGACGGCAACAACAAATACAAGTGTCCCGCTACCATCTACCCCAGTTCACCGAGTACGCAGTCCACCTCACTGTGCGCTTGCTGCCGCCTGACCCAGGCCACTGAGTCTTACCCCGACCCACTGCATCGATCCATGCATCGACACACTGCATCGACCCATGCAGCGGACCTACCCTGCCGCCAACTGACCCGACCGTACCACACCACAGCGTCCCGCCCCTTCTTTCTGTACCACTTGTTTCGTTTTTTGTATCATTTTGTCGTTGTTCTTCTTTGCTTCATTTTGCAGGTGCGGAGACGGAGAACACGAAAGAGGTCCCAAGTAATGGCCACAAAGACGTGAAGAAAGACGAGACCAAAGCAGAGAAAAAGGGTGACCAGCATGCTCAGGCACCAATCCCCTCGGTACCCGCAGCACCCACAGCAGAGGCAGGAGGAGCCCAGAAACCACATGGAGCAGCAGGATCACCAGGACGATCGGATCAAGGAGCTGGCGACACCACCGTAGTATCGCAACCTGGAGTAGGTGCAGCTCAAGGACCAGGACCTGGACAACCCCCCCCACCTCCTCCACCCGTGGAGTCACCTGAGGACGAACAAGGCCCGAAGAAACCACACCAAGAAGGTAAGTGTGCAAAGGGAAGTACCGTATTCCATGAGACAAATGTGGGCAGGGGTCTCTCTGGTTCCTCATCAAGTATCACTATCTCCTTCACACCGCGCCCCGGAACTGATGATGACTGTGACCAGAAGCCCAAAGACTCGGGACCAGGTAGTGTCCTGAGTGAACATCCAAAAGGACAAGAACAAAAAAGAGAGAGAACAAAACAGAAACACACAATTTTCCGGAGACAACACGGAGCGAGAGAAACCAAACGTCGAATGAGACGCACCAGCAGAGCGCCGGGGCGGCCGAGACAGCCGCGTCCGGTACAGCGACGTAGAGACGTCGACAGACGTAGACAACCGCACACACACTGTGTCTGAGTGTGTATGTGTTGTATGGGAGAGAGAGAGTCTTTTCCCGGAGTGGCACCCTGCCACCATCTCCCCGTGATTCCATGCCCCGACGCCATTCCCCGCCGTTCCGTCCTTCCTGCCTTCGTTCCCGTGGCACCAATGGTGCCGACCGCGTAGTCAACCATCCAGAGACGGTGATGTCGTGAAACGACGGACAACCGCCGTCAATCGTGTGGTCGAACAATGCAGCGACGGACAGCGGCCAAGCGGCAACCGTGGCCAATCTCGCACTGCATAAAGTTCAGTTTCATCATACTTCTTCCTTCCCTTTCCCTGTCTCCCCATTCACCACATGTTCAGGCGATGCCGTCGCCGCTGGTAGCGGCAACGATGACCCCCCTCCTCTCAATCCGCCCAAACCAAAACCGAATCCGAACCCAAATCAGGCGGGGTCCAGCGGCCACAATAGTCACGGTTGAGTGCCCTCTTTCGATTTGGACAAAATATTTCCAAAGAACATAATAACTGCAGCAGGCGGTGGATTTACACCACCTATCACAACACCCGGATCATCCACTACATCGGGTGTAACTCCAGGTGACTACGCTGTTCCTGACCTAACCGCCGCGGTCCTTATCGCCACTACTCCCGTACTCTTCTTCCTGTCCGCCGTCACCGTGGCCCTCCTTGGTTATTCCTTTTGGAACGTAAGTGCACTCTCAAGCTCACACAAGCGCACACACAACGCACACACAAGCACGCACAAATATAACCGAGTGGAAAATGGAACAACAACCGTTGCCATTCGCCATTCCACTGCTCCATCCACTGTTCCCAAAAGGAACTATAACCAACTTTACACCATTTGGAAGTTACTCCACAAGAAAACAAAAAAACGATAATAACTTTTAGAACAAAGAACAAAAAAAACAAAAAAAAACCTACTACAGATTAACGTCCCTATATGCGGATACATTGTACATTGGAGGCAACGGAGTTTGGGCTCGTGCGACACAATATA